ACTGCTTCCTATGGAGTTTAATTATCAACAAGCTGTTATCTATTGAAAGCACTACATCATTTATTTTGCACCTCTTAAAAGCATATGACTTAATCTTCCTCCAGAGCTGCCATCTTCTTTTTCCAAGTTGTTTAATGCACATTTGTAACTTAAGGATCTTGAAGTCAATGTATTTACAATTCAACCAGAAAGAACTTTGTTGAGGGCCCAAGCTAGACACCCAAGAGGCATCCTATATTTCTCTCTCTTAGTTATTCCTCACAGCAAATGGCTCGCCAAGTTATTGCCTGTTAACCTTCTCCTTCCCATTCCCTTCATTTCTGTCCTATTTCAGCCTCTGATTCTCTCCTGCTGGGCTACAAAATTAGCTTCAGATCTGGCTTTCCTTCCTCCATTATGTGTTCTTTTGGAAGTGTCATCCACACTAACTCCAGAATTCACTTTTAAAAACAAAGTAATCATGTCACTTTCAGGAAAAAGCATGAGATAATGGAAAGTCCTTGGAAATGTACATACCTGGATTCAAATCCTGGGTGTGCTACTGTCTAGTTCTGTGTCCTTAGATATATTTTTTTCACCTTTTTGTTTCTACATTTGTTGATTAATAAAATGGGGTTAAGAGTGCTTATCTCAAAGAGTTTTGGTGTGGACTAAACAAGTAACGTGTATCTATCATAACTGACACTCAAAAGCAGTTAAGTCTTCTGCTCTTTTCCTTAAAACTTCAGTAGTTACCTACCAAATAAAAGATAAAATTCATATTCTTTGGCATGGTCTATGTTTATTCTCAGAATCTGCCCTAAACTACCATTTTAGCTTTCCCTGTTATACTCTCTCTTTCCTGATATATTCCAACCACACTAAATAAATCACCATTGCTGAACGCAGTATTTTTTTCTTGATTTCCTGACTTTCTCAGACTCTTCTCTGTGCTTGAAATATTCTCACCTCTTTTCTCCTCTGATTGATTTGTATTTATTCTTCAAGATTGACTCTAGTTATCCCTTCCCTGTGAGAAAAATGGAGAACATCAGCCAGCTAATATTAAAACAAGTAAAAATGTATATTAAATATAGAACAAAAGCAAATACTTTTCCTGGATAAACAAATCTAATGTCTACTAGATGTATTATTATTTGAATAACTATTTTTTTGGTAAGAAAACTTGGAGAGTTAAAGAACTTTTTAGAAGTCTTACATTTTTCACTTGAGAAGTGGGAGGTTGGTTTTTCTCTTGGGTGATATAAGAGAGTGTCTATTTGGAAGGTCCCCCAACTCTTTGAAGTTGTGCATACTCAGCTGGATGGATCCTGAACATCTGACTTCACTTATGAGTTTGACAGGAGAGAGAGGAAGGAGGAGGTAAACATTTAATTCTGAAGTGTAATTGACATGACCAACACAGCTTTCTAAATTAATAAATGTGTTTACAATGCACCATTTCTTCTTATTTAAACAAGTCAGTTCCCTAATCCCACGAGTCTGACTTCTTCAGTCATCAAGCCCACCACCATATATCTTCCCCAAATGGCAACATTCCAAATCAAGGCAAGGTCCCCATGGGTTTATAAATTTGGTTCTTTTGGGGTTAGATTCAAATTCCTCACCTAATCTACTATCAATTATGGGAATTTTAAAGTAAAGTCACGTAGACAACTCTAAATTATAATCCTGTTTGACTTAAAATTTCAATTTGAGAAGGTAAAATATCTTAAGTGTGGCAGTTCTGGACATTCAAGTTATCAAATGAGATGTAAGGTAATATCAACATTTAAGTTGCTCAGCCAATTCTTTTTTCTTCTCTCTCTCTTTCTTTTTCTTTTTGTTGTGTTTTCAAATTCAAGTTAAAAGAGCCACTGAGACGTAAATACCCAGTCAAATATTGATCATCTAGAAGCATTCACAGAAGGTTCTATATTTTGCCATCGACTTGTTTGTAGAATAGTAACATTTAGGTAAGGCATGAAGTAAGACACAAAATTTTGCCTTTAGGATGATACATTTTTAGCTTTTAAGATACTGGTCTCAACAAAAAGGATGGAAGCATTTCTGTAGTTGATCGGTATTTTTTGTTCTATAGATGTGGTTTCAAGTTGGTCTTGAGTAAATTCTACAACTCTGTGTATAATAGCAATTATTTGTATCTATGGTAGTTTAAGTCACCATTTACTGTATCTGTCCTTCACATATTTCAGAATATATTTTCAACAATAAATCATCAAAGATTCCTACTAATAGCCTGTGTCTGCACACAGAAAGAAAGAAACTTGAACTTTAGCACATCCCGTGTAAGCTAAATGAGTAAATGTGTACTTTTTATTAGACATCATGAGGTATATCATTACCCTCATTTCTACCTTCATAGATTCCTAGTTTTCTAAGATACACATACTAGAAATAATGTAATATGTCTGAAAAAAATAAATGTTTTTACTTTTTTTTTTTTTTTTTGTGAGGAAGATCAGCCCTGAGCTAACATCTGTGCTAATCCTCCTCTTTTATTTTGCTGAGGAAGACCGGCTCTGAGCTAACATCTATTGCCAATCCTCCTCCTTTTTTTCCCCAAAGCCCCAGTAGATAGTTGTATGTCATAGTTGCACATCCTTCTAGTTGCTGTATGTGGGACGCGGCCTCAGCATGGCCGGAGAAGCGGTGCGTCGGTGCGTGCCTGGATCCGAACCCGGGCCACCAGTAGCAGAACGTGCGCACTTAACTGCTAAGCCACGGGGCTGGCCCAATATTTTTACTTTTTTAATGAATGAGTTTTAAAGCATACATATTGTTGACTGCCACTGCTTTAGTATCACAACAGAACAGAGCCTGTGAACTGAGAATCTCAGATCAAGCCGTTAGATCAGATTTCTTTAAATAGTAGGTGTCGCTGGAGCTAATCACATTGCTGTGAAGGGTCTTATAAAACAGTCATATCATAATAAACAATGCCAATGAAAAGAAAATTACTCTTTCAAGTATTTTACAATACCTTGAGTCTATGCAGCCATGATGATACTTTTTTTTTGAAAATGAAGAGGTGTCTTAGATGTTTGTTTGGATCATCTGTCCAAAAATTGGATGGCTCTTTAACATGGCGTAGTATCAAGACAAAGACCAGAAGCATTCAATTTATGACAAGTGTGTGTGTTGGACAGTTGTACTTCTCATGCCTCATAGTCTGAAGGGCCTGAACTATTTAGTGTGACAGTAGGATTAGAAATAGGAGCAGAGTGTCTTGTGTTTACATGGACTCAGTTAACCTCCAGTAGACATCGACAATAACTACATAGTTATGTAGGGTATTAGAAAGCCTTTCTGAAAGAGTTATTCTACTTGGGCCTTGCAGAATTGGTTGGACTTCGAAAACTGGAAGGAGTAGGAAAAGGCATTTGAGATAGCTAGTAGAGATTAACCAAAGGCCTGGAGATAATGAAGGCCACAGCTTGTTCAAGAAAGGCAATTAATCCCGAGTGGCATCAAGGTAGGAGGACACCAGAGGGAGCAACGGGAATTATACCCTGAAGGTCTCACTGGGAGTGTTTTGAATTCCAAAAGGAGAAATTTGAGCTTTATTTTGTATGTCAGGAGAAATGACATGGCCAAATCTGTGTTTCAGAAGGTGATGTTTGTGGCTATTCAGAGGATGGATTGAAGAGAGAGGCTGGAAAGAGGAAAACAAGTCACATGAATTATCAAGCAATGAGAGCCTGTGCTCCAACAGTGGTAATAGAAAAAGAGCAAGTGATGTGCCAACTACACACATTGATTGTAGATGGAGGATTGACAGAATTTGTGATGGAATGAGTAAGGGAGAGAAATACTGAATTATTATTATTGTTATGAAACTGGGCTTCTTCCTAAGATTCTCTTATAATACGACCTGCTAAACCATGGAATAAAGCTTGAGGTAGAGATGATTTGGACTCTGTCCCATGGAAACTTAAGAATAATGCTTTTCAAATTTGGTCTACCTATTGCCCTATACTTTTGCTGGGTGCCTGAGGACTAGGCACACCTGTACGAGAATATCCATTGTATTTCATTATGATGTGTGAATTGCTGATTATTCAATAAGATATGTAACACGGGTACCTGGAAAGTTACAGCTCTACAGGCTGTGCTGGAAGAGGCAACATCTTGATTATTTTTCTGCTCTCTGTAGGTGATCCCTAGGAAATGTCTTCTGGTCAATAGGGGGCAGTGTCGCATAGTAGATAGAGCACTACTGTGTAGTCAGAGAGTTATGTACAATCCCTGGCATTTTGATTGTCCCTTAATCCCAGGATTCCCAACCCTGGATTATCAGAGCATCTTCAAAATCACCTAGGGTTTCCTTTTAAAATATAGATTCTCATAACTCTATCCCTTGGAGATTTTGATTCAGTTGATTTGAGTAGGGCCCTGAAATAGATGTTTTATTTTGTTTTTTAACATTCTAGGTAATTTTGATAGTTAGCTAAATTTGGGAGATAGTGATTTAATCTTCCTGAGTTTCAACTTTCATAGGATTGCTCTGCACATTAAAAGAGAAAATACATCTGGGTTTTCTAAACTAAATCACAATAAGATATCAATTGTTAATTAGATTACTCCTTGAAATAACTTTTCCATCCCTTTTTTAAAGACTTCTTCAATTTCTTATCAGTTTGAAGCTTGACTATATGAAAGCATATTGTGTTTGTTTGATGTTTATGCATTGTGATAGCAGAGAGAAAACTAATGAATTCTGTCCAATATGTACACATAATACATAAAATATAGAATTAATTGGATGATAGTTTTAAATGTTGAAGAGACGACAGAAAGTAGAACTTTGCTTGAATTTTTCTTAAATCTGAGGAATAAATACTAGTTTTTAAAAATGGCAAAGAAATGTAAACAGAAATTGCTTGTATATATTTTTAATACAAAAACTCCCATTTATTATTGACACTGTGATAATTTAATTTACAAATATATTGACTTCCCAGTTTTAAGAGCAACAGCTTAAGTTAAATACATTGTTCTCTCCTTCATTTCTTTCAAGCCAAAAACAATTCAACAAGCAAAACAACACCAAAAAACTTTGTGTCAATAATAGCAAGGGTGGTTTCGAAATACATACTTTTCAAATGGTCATCCAAGTGAAAGATTTCAGCAGCTCAATACCATGTCTATATAATAATATGCAGCATAAATGTCAGTTGACCTTGAAGCTTATAGCATATTTTAATCAGTTTCAAAACCTGTATTCACAGTTTCTGTGTAACTGGAGTTACCCGGCCTTCTCAGTTCTGAGGGATTATCTAATACATAGGTCCACTGTGTTCTATGACAGTACCATAGTCTCTCCTTCCTTCTACTGTCTCTCAATTTTCATCTTGCTCTTCTTCAACCCTGCACCCGAATAACTTCCATGTTAATCCATTCTGAGTCATTTGTTCTTCCCCTGGGACTGTTCAGTCTCTCAAAAGGTCAAGATGTTCACCCAGGGAGCCATACTGGCACATTCTTTCTGTTCTTGATACCATCTTTAATTCTCTCCAGGCAGGAACCGGTCACTTTAGACTATTAGCCTGAAGGTCGTTCAGAAGATTTAAGTATATATTTGATTTGAGGAACCTGGGATAGGAGTCCCTTTCCATCAGAGTATATATGACTTTTTGGGCTTCATCAAAACACGTGTGGGTTGGCGCTTTAATCTTCTTGGCTGTAGATTCTCGAGTTCGAAAGTCAATATTGATCTAAAAAGAAAATCCTCATTAGTTAGTACATACTTTCAATTTGTTGCGTATTTTATGATGTTACTGTGCTTTTTCAAGACAGTGGATTTAAGCCCTCATTTAAATCAGTTCAAATATCTCTTGAATGCCTATTCTAAACCAGCCCTTTACTAGGTGTGGAGGAGTTAAAAAGAAATAGCACAAACAAGCCTTTGCTCTAAGTTAGCTCATAGATCATTGAAAGATACAAAAGAGGCAGACATGAAAAGTTAAATATCCATGCAAGGTGATACATGCATCAAAAAAAGTGATGTGGACGTTTAAGATTTACAAGAGGAGATGGCACATTGTGCGGCTATTTTCTGCTTGAAACAAGAAAATTTAACTGGAAGGTGGGCACTACTGCTAAATGGAAATATTTTTGCTGCTGCAATCATATGTATTACACTATTGTAACAGTGTATTTTATTCTAATCCAAGATGAACTAGCTAATTAAGGACTCCCTGATATGCAATTCTGCCCAGTAACAACAGTACAACTTACCCCACCCCATCATGTTAGCTAGTTTTGCAAAATCAATCTTGCATCCAATCTTTGCACAAACATAGAAAATTAGATTATCATTGCACTGAACTATATGAATATACCTAAATATATAGCAATGACACTCAAAAAGGATTTCCTCTTGCTATGTTTGTTGAATGCTATTTCTGTATCTAAGTTCCTTTACATGTAAACTGATGATAATGAACTTGATACTCACTTGTTTAGCAGCATCTGAATGCACAAATGCTTTATATATTTTCTCTGCTTTGCAGTGCAAAAGATCAGACTCTGTCTTTTTATAGTCTTCACAAGCCAGCCAGAATTCAATATTCTCCTCACTGAACTCAGACTTGAGGAAATTTCCAAAGACATCTTGACCAGCTAAAAAGAAAAGGTGAGGAGTGAGAGAATTACATGAATTGAGCCAATAAATGAATAACTTGAAGAAGAAATTTGCAAGAAAAATATTATTGCGTTTCTATGTGCAAAGGTAACAGATGGCTCTGCCGAAATAGCTGTGTCATAGTTTGTAGAGATGGGAAGGCCTTAGCGATTCTTTCATTTATAGTTTATCTGGTGCCGGACAAACTTGTCCACAGCTGCTTAGTGGTGGCTACGAAACTGGGCTTTGCTTCCATCTGCTAATTAAATTAAAATTCTGCTCTGCTGATTACAAAACAATCTGTCTTCTTATAAATACCAGCTCTTAGCCAGAGTGTAGAGTATTTTAGGGAAGCAAACATTGACAAAGGGTATTAACATCATGTTAATCACTAACTAATATAATTTCCCCATTCAATTCATGTTAGTCAGAAAATGTGAGACCTATATATGACCTATGTGTTATGTACTGATTATATTTCCTAGTGTTACAGAGACTTTTAAATGGGCCATTTCTATTCCATTTATTTGTTTGGCTGAATTATAAACCAAGTCAGATAATAAGATGGATGAACCAGGCTGAACTTCCTCATCTCCAAGCAAGGTTCTTTCAGGTGTTTGTGGGGAGAAGAGGATAAGCTCACCCCCTAGATAGAGACAAGCTGCTCATCTGCACCTCTGAACCAGGTCCTGATCCCAATAGAATTGCAGTGCCCGTGATGAGGGTAAGGCAAGCTGATTTCATTCTTTACCTTCTCTCATCAGAAACTCCCCACAAGACTCTGTGTTTAAAAAAGACTCTGTGTTTAAAAATGCTTTTTATCATATCTGTGTTCTTACATGTCATGTTATATATAATGCAGTTATGTACTGTGTGTCTCAATCACCTGCAAGACAGTAAGGTGGCAAGGAGCTGTGTCTTGGCTTTTGAATCCTTGGTGCTTCTGAAACACATGCCACAGAAAAGTGGGCTGAATGAGTGAGTTCATGAATGTATGGAGGATAAAACCATTAACTGACTGAATGAATCCTCCTCCTTACATCCAACATACAAAAAGACATTCTTTAGGTAGCTTTCAGAATAGTAGTTCACATGTTGAGATGTTTGGTTTACTTTTAAATACTCCAGATTTCAGAACCCCAGTGTAATTTTTAATTTCGCTCCTATAATGATCCATGGAAACACTGAATTGTCCTGGCAAATTTGTCTAGAGGACAGTGGCAGAACTGAGTGTTAAGTCAACATTACACCACAATGAGGCATAATGTGCTGAAGCTCTCAGTGACTACAGAAAAACTGGAATACAACTTTTCACACACTCTACTATCCAGAATACTATGTTTGAATGAAGCCATTCAATCTGTTAGTGTATCGAGCTAAACTCCTAAACATTCAATAGTTAATCTATACTTACTTTGGTTGGCAAGAAGTTTTTCCAGAGACTGAGACCATTGCATTACTTCATCAGCAGAGAGTCTGTAGGGGACAAAATTTACCTAAATTAGTAAAATATTTTTTTGTGTAAGCACAAATGGTATTAGAATGGCTGCTATACTTTGATAACTTCACAAACTAAGACTCTAGTTCTAATAAATTTTATTAAAATTTGGCCAAATGAAAACAAAATTTCTCTTAGAATTACTGTAGTTATGAAAATATCTGCCAATAAAATGTGAAAAAATCCAGATACATATACTGCAACAGTATGGTAAATAGCAAATACATGCACCTTTGTATGTAATTTACATTGGTACTAATGTAATCTAATCTTATTAGGCTTGTTATTTTAAAAAAATAAAGTCCATTAAGTGCAATAGAATTTCCTGCTAGAATATAGAGCTAAAGCATAGGCCACTTTTATAATGATCATTCGGAGTATTAGTGTACATACATGTCCTTAGACTTGGAAGGTTTCATTCCAGATTCCAGATGTGGGATCATAGATCTCAAGTATGCTTTCACATCCATTCCACTATAAAAGACACAAAAGTAAATATTCATATTTCCTCTGTAGAATACATTTTATTTGAAAAAGAAAAGAGCATGAAATAAACTTCTCCAAGGAATAAGACAATAATAAAAATAGTTGATACAACATTTTGCTCTGTTAAGATTGAGCCCATTATTATGGGCCAAAGTCTGGAAAAATTCTCACCTAATTTGTTGCCCAATCATGATTCATTTTTTAATACAACTGTATATACTTATAACTCAGAACAGATAATTGCTCTGATCTGGCCAAACTAAATGCTCGTATTTTCTTCCACTCATTCTCAATCCTTCTGCCATTAAAGATAATCTAAGTCAAAATTCACAAAATGAGACACTGAAGGAACTTACAAAGTCTTTGGCCTCCTTTTTTGTGGCGTGTCGTCTAGAAGTGAGTGATCAGTTCCTTTCAAGTCCTTTGGATTGGCAGAGAAGAACATTCCTGGCATTTTGTCTAACCTTGGCATGGGGATGGCTGCTGCTCGCATCGTCTTCGCAAGGCAAGTGTCTGCTAGCCGCCGTCTCTGCTGCTTTATATAGTAAATGCTCCTGCTGTTCAAACTGAGTCTGTTTATCAAGTGATGTTACCACAGACGCTGGAAGTTCCCCCTTTCTTGGTGTGTTGTGACGTGTATCTTGAAAAAAAAAAAGCCTACAGTGATGTTTTGTGGTTGAAACCTAACCGAATGAGACTAGGTCACTTGATTTGAAAGAAAGGAAGAGAATTAAACATACAGAGACACACACATATACATCACATGTCTACAGCATTAGCAGCATGGGTCTTTCCTTCCAGGGGATGTTTGTTTTTTCATAAAATTGCATATTTCAATAAAATGTTTCATTTGGTCGATATATTGTATCACAAAGAAACTCAATATTGGAGATGTACTGAGTGTAAAGAAATTTTTTTGTTTATTTGTGCATATATCTGGTAGGAAGGAGAGTTATGAGAGGTTATCTTAACTTTTCCCCACTCCAACTCTCATCCCTTATTTCCACAGCAAGATATTTTCATGTTAGTATTTCCCAAGGTGTGTGCTAGACATTCAACTGGTGGTATATAAGCTGATTTTAAGGGGCGTGTGGATTTTAATATTTATTAGGAGTGTAACTAATATATCAAACTGTGATTTTTCTGTATATTACTGCTGGGGATAAGAATAAAGTAAAATTAAAACAAAACTATAAGCAAATAAAAGTATAGTTATCACAAAAATATGACATATATGTAAATATACTGATACTAAAGAGTTGCACAGTATCAGAGGAAAAACTGCTCAAGGTAAAATAACAGTATATTTGGTCAGGCCAATAATGTGTACTTCTTAGGTGATGATCTCCCAAATTTTGGCAGTATCTCTGGAGAGATATTGTCTAGCTCTAATGAAGATTAGGGATTAAAAATACCCCCAAGGAATTAGATGCCTAATCACTGATCAGGGCAGAGGAATTAGTGCAATATAAGCTCTTATGAAGTTTAATATAGAGTGTGGTTTGTTTACAGAGTGTCCAGTTTAACTTAAACCTCCTTTGGTTTTTGCCCCTGAAAAGATAAAACAAATTTTACTTAGAGAGGCTCCTGATGGTGTTAGGTAAAGCTGACAAAAGGGAAGGGAGTATTACTTTTCCTATCTTGGTTCTATCATCAAGATAAAAAATATTTGGAGGAATCACATTTATACTATTTCAAAATTCACTTACTACATAGTCATGAACATATATTGTATGTCTATTGTATGAAGCATCACTTGATGTTCAAAAATTAACATAATTCATTTAGAAAGAGAACTAGTGGGGGCCGGCCTGGTGGTGCAGCGGTTAAGTGTGCGCACTCTGCTTCGGCAGCCTGGGGTTCGCAGGTTTGGATCCCAGGCAAGCACCGATGCACCGCTTGTTAAGCCATGCTGTGGTGGCGTCCCATATAAAATAGAGGACGATGGGCATGGATGTTAGCCCAGGGCCAATCTTCCTCAGCAAAAAAGAGGAGGATTAGCATCGGATGTTAGCTTAGGGCTGGTATTCCTCACAAAAAAAATAAGTAAATAAAAGAAAGAAAAAGAACTGGTGAGATGAACCAGCCACTTTGGCAGTGACCCAAACAAAAATGACAGGGCTCAAACACTGATGACATAAAAGCATTTGTTTGTGTATTTCTTGTGGTTCAGTCCATACTTACTTATCTGTTAAGATCTTCCTGCTCATGTTTGTTTATCTAGTCTTCTCTCGTTCCTCTAGATAATTGTGGGTAAATTATGTCAGAGAAAAATGATTTAAAGTTTATTTTTAGTGGCCCACTATTACTAATATCCAAACATCCTGACAATTTCCAAAGTATCTTTCAGCAACAATAGTTGCTTTGGATGTTAATAAGCATAATAAAGACTACAACAGCAACAGTTGCAAAGCTTAGGGGACCACATTAGTTTAGCAAATACTGGGTTAAAGTTAAATAAAGTTCTTAAATTGATCAATGCAGATCTTCTGAGAGCTTTTAATAAGTTAACGCACATTTGTTAGTCTCTAAAAGGAGGGTAGAATATGCAGCAGTTTCCTAACAGTTTTTTTTTTATAATTTTTATTTATTTATTTATTTTTTTCCCCCAAAGCCCCAGTAGATAATTGTATGTCATAGCTGCACATCCCTCTAGTTGCTGTATGTGGGACGCGGCCTCAGCATGGCCGGAGAAGCGGTGCGTCGGTGCCCGCCCGGGATCCGAACCCGGGCCGCCAGCAGTGGAGCGCGAGCACCCAACCGCCAAGCCACAGGGCCGGCCCTTCCTAACAGTTTTGAAAACTGAACCCTCATTAGGTAGGAAAAATAGTTTGCAGAAATAATGTTCTCTTGACACGACATTTAGGAAACTCTGGTCTGAGATAAAAATCAATATTCGCATCATATACATTAATACTTCCTTTAAATCTCCAACATTTTGCTACTTCAATATAGACTTGGAAGCTTAAGCATTTGCAAGCAGTTATAACTGCATGCTTCCAAGCCTAAATAGAGAATTAAACTCCTTATAGAGGGGGTCCATCTGAAATTTCTATATCACAATTGGCTGTTGAAGCTACCTCGGTGGCATAGTAATGGAGCTGCTGTCTCAAAGGCTGCTTGCTAGCACATGCAAAGCCAAGATGTGCCAGAGGCAGGCAAATCTGGTGAAGCTGTGTCAGCAACGGCTGATGAGTCCATGGCAGGGCATTGAAAGTTCCCTATTAATTGCACACAGAGCATCACTGTCTGGCCCCTCTTTGTAAAACTCATTAAGAAAAGACAAGTGATCAAATAGTAACTTTACTGAATCAATGACTTTGGTTGAAATTGTAGAAGATTTGATAAAAACTAATAGAAGAAACAGTGGCTCTCACAAACATAATCTTGTTTGTGTATTTCCTCTGAATTGTGCTTAAGTAACTAGGTTGGAGTCCTAAGAAAAGGAGGACTTCATGCAGTCTTAGTGTCATCTTTTTTTTAAAAAAAAATAATAGGCTTCCTTTTTAGAGCAGTTTTAAGTTTACAGCAAAATTGAGTGGAAAGTACAGAGTTCTCACATACTGCCTCTGACCCCACAGCCTTCACCACCATGAACATCCCGCATTCGTGTGGTATATTTGTGGTATATATTGATGATGAACCTACATTGACACATCATTATCACCCAAAGTCCTTAGTTGACATTATGGTTCACTTGTGTTGTACATTCTGTGGGTTTTGATGAATGTATATTGACATATATCCACCATCAGAGTATTATAAACAATAGTTTCCCTGCCCTAAGAATCCTAGTGTTATCTTTTAAAATGTCTAGGAGATTGGTTCAATAAAACATTTCAGATTATGGCTATCAATTTTGATGGGAAAATTTTAATCTTTGCTAAGTTGATTTTATGTTCTGGTTCCCATCACTCCAATGCCTGAGTCCTAGTAGGGACTGCTTTGTTGAATGACATTTTCAAGCTTGATATTGATTAAGCTGATGTTAAGCCTCTATAAGATTGCTGAAATTTTGTTGTGGACATTAGGAATTATGGGAAAAAGGACAATAATGAGTACAAGATTGCATCTTAAAAGTAAAAATATATACTGCTAAGAGTCGGTGACATGAACAGAAATGTTGATCCATTGAAAGAAAATGTCTTGACTGAACAAACTTTAATCTCAGTCCTACAATGTATCAGACATAGGTACTGCAAATAGAAAGCGGAATGAGTCTCTGTCCTAGGGAGTTCACAGTAGAGAAGGGCAGACAGGTATTTAAGCAAGTAATCAAAGTGAAAAGTGCCATCGGAGAGGAATGTACAGAGGAGCGATTAACTCTGGAAGCTGGAACAGAAGAAAAGGACTGTTGCCACTTACTACACAATCAACATGTACTTATTCTCTGCCTATTTCTGCATTCGAGATCAACACCCATTGGAAAGTACAAAACACCGCAATGGAGAAACTGGTCTTCAGCAAGTAGACACTTGCTGAAGACACTTGCTTTATACACTTCTTACATGTATAAAGATCATGGAAGAATGGATCCTATATGTAAACACAGAGCCTTGCAGAGTTTAAAAGGGGCTCTGAAAGACTTTGTTGAATTAGCATAACCACTCAATGGTTAAGGAATTAAGCCAAAGGCTCACTCTGACAGCTTCCAGGCTTATAGTAAGGCTACCAATTGTGTTTCAGTTACATTTCATAGAGTTTATTTGAAAAGCTTCAACAAAGATGAATTTGGAGGGATTTTTCTCTATGTCCAGGTAGAGTATTGCTGGGGACATTGATGCCTACTTTATATCATTTATGAATAAAAGGATTAAACATTTTAAACTTGTTTATAATCTTATTTTCTAAATGAAGAAATCAGCTGATCAATTTTAAAGAGAAGATATTTGCAACTTGGTGAAATTCAATGACCTCAGTAAATGCAAACTGAGCAAGATAAGAATCTAGTTTCTTTTTCTCACCCAGTTCTAATCAACTTATAGTCAACACTGAACATCTCCTTTCTATATTTTAAGAGATTATGAGAAAATTGAATGTGGGACCTTCAGTGAACTGGGCTCCTGGGATTCTATAAACCTCACTCACCCTAGATCTCATCTTACCAGTAAAGCTCTCATTAATAAGCCCATGTTCCAAGTCATTCTTGAAAGTACTAAAAAATCTTTGATTAATATTATCTCTGATGTACTTCCTCCACAGTGGATTCGTTTTCATTTACTATCACTCTATGATTTATAATCATTTCAACAAGGGAGAGTAGTCACGTCAAAATCTATTTGACTATGCTTTGCAAATAAAATTTAGCAAATATCTAAGTGTCTTAGTCCCAAGTTCAAATAAATGGAAAACTATGCTATAAGAACATTGACACATTATTTGCAGTTGGACTGGAACATTCTGTTACATAACACGGGACATAAATGCAAAAACAAAGATACTCGAAGGTCAACATGGAGAGACAATTTGTAAAGGAAAGTATATTTTTATTGTTAGGAAGCAACATCAA